TGAAATTAATGATTTTGGAACGAAATTTTCGACATAGTTACTGGTGGCTTTACGCCCGAAGATGACGAAGCTGTGCCTCCTTCAGGTGCTCCAGGTGCTCCAGGTGCTCCAGGTGCTCCAGGCGCTCCAGGTGCTCCCGGAGCGGCTCCTTCAGCAGGAGCTCCAGGTGCTCCACCCTCTCCCTGGAAGTGACCATCTTCAAGCGAAGTACAGAAATTAAACACGTTTATGGGATCACCTCCTCTTCCCCTTCTTCCTCTTCGTCCTTCTTTCCACATGAAATCAATACAAACAGAAGGCTTGCCCATTGTAGGAGCAGATATAAGAACGTGTCTAGCATACTTCTGAAATGATGCTAGTCACTCATAATGTTTATTGAAGTGATTTTTGGGACTTTGTCAAAACACGAAGCCACCCACACGATAAACTCGAGGATCACAGGCTGCTGAAAACAACAGAGCTCCTGTTACCGCAGTGGTCTCCAGAAACAAAATGGATAGAATGACCCAGCTTTGTTTGCACGTACAAGTCCTTTGGGAGGTCTTACCTCCAAGGAAAGCCAACTAGGAATGAAAAGGAATCTTCCCAACTTTGGCTTATAAAGAAACCGATAAGCTGTGGATGTTAAAAGAATGACGACATTTTTCATTATTTCAGTCATTATTTTGGAAATATTGGTGGTATCCAGAATAGAACTTTATAGGAAAAACTTTTACGAAATTGACTACCATATTTCGCCATACAGCCCTCTTCTCGTTGCACATTTATATATCCCTTTGAGTATCCTCCAAAAGGGGATCACTGTGTCTTTCCCCATCAGATAAATTTTGAATCCATTAGTATTCAACGAAAACGATTAAAGGAGTAAGTCTTGCGTTTGCCGTTTTATCCCGTTTTCCAGTCTCCTAGTTCACGTCCCGCGCATTTTGTCATTAGCCGAGCTTACCTGCGACTTTGTCTTCTCCTAAATATTTACGCACAGACACCTCTACCCCGGGGATTTTCCAATAATAAAGTCATTATTATTTTTTTATTTATTTTTTTAATATTCGCATTTTCCCGCTTACACAGGGTCTGCTGTACGAGTCAACTGTTTCCAGTATTCTCGATTTAAGGCA